TGCCCCGAGCCCCCAGTACCCGACAAACCAAACAGCAAACATTCCTGGGTGGCAAGAGACGAGGTCCAGGGCAGCCACCGCAGGGCAGAGAGCATGGGAGCACCACAGGGTGCTTGTGGGGTGGTCCCCTCGGCACAGCCCCCGTGGCGTGGGGCTCCCAGGGACCCTGGAGCACCAGGAGAGGTGACCGGGAGTGCTCCTTCTTGGCAGGACCCTGCCCCATCGAGATGTCGGGTACCAGGTCCCACTTTGCCGTGACCGACTTCCCAGAGGAGTTGGGCTGGAACGCCGTGGTCCAGCAGCAGGATGGGGATTCCCTCTCCGTCTCGCTCTGCTCCCCGCCAAGCGCCCGCATCGGCCGCTACAGCCTGACAGTGGAGACCTCCACCGGCTACCAGGGCAGCAGCTACCACATCGGGGACTTCGTTCTGCTCTTTAACGCCTGGCACCCAGGTGAGGCTTTCATCTTTCCAAGACCGGGGGTTCCTGGGTAAGGTGAGCACAAGTCACCCCCCATCTCTGCCAGGGAAGCACATCCCCACAGACACCAGATGCCCCAAGCTCTGCCCTGACCGCAGATCTAAGCAAAAATCCCCACTTTACTTACACTTCCACATAGTCCCCATGGCAGGTCGGGGCCATGAGCACTGCCCCCCACCCCAGGACACACACACAGCCCCTTTGCCAGTGCCCCAAAGGCCCATCTGCACTGTCCCCACCACGCAATGACCCGCAGGAACTCACCTCTGTGGTGCTGGTGTGAAGCCCTGGGCAGCCAGCAGCAGCTCCTGGCCCACTGGCAGGAAAAGCCACTAATTGGCCCTAATTAATTCCCGAAAAGCCACTAATTGGCCCTAATTATTTCCTCCCACCTGTCCCAGCCCTGCCCACCCACCTCAGGCCAGAATCCCGCTGTGGGCCCAGGGCTGTCACTCTCCAGGTGAAATTTGGGCAGCCTGACCCAGAAGGGAGGCTCAGTGCTGTTAGAGTTTAACGATGCTGGGCAAACAACAGCCGGGATTTTCATCTCTCCACGTCCTTCCCCTGCCCCGAGGAGCAGCCCTGTGCTGCCTGCTCCCAGCTCGATTTCCTGAATCCCAAACGCTCCATGCTGGCTCTGCCGAGATAAGGGGCTTTAGGAAGCTTCGCTCGCCCAGGACTGTGCTGAGCGCTGGCGCTGGGGATCTATGTGTTGGGTTTTTTTCTCAAAACATTTCCAGTAAATAGTGATTTTTTCCAGCAGTAACTGCTGTGCGAGCAAAATGGCTTCAGCTGCGATCTCAGACAGTGCTCCCGGTTCCCACTGCTCGCTTCTCCCACTGGGGAGGTTTCCCCTCCTGGGAAAAGACCTGACTCCATAAAACACAAGGGAGAAAGGAAAGAGAGAAACGAGAAAGACTAGAAAAGAAAACCAGAAGTCTACTGAAATTTTCCCATGAGCTGAAGTAAAACAGAGTTGAAATTCTCCAGCAGCTTTTTCAGACGGGAGCAGTCCCAGCCCCTGTCGCCTCATTTCCCACCAGACCCGTCCCTGCTCACTGCCCAGCACGTCCCCGGGGAGGGGGGGGAGCCCTGAGCAGGGCCGGGGGGCAGAGCCCCGTCCCCATCTCTCGCTCTCCCTGCAGAGGACACGGTTTTCCTCCGAGACGAGGATGAGCGCTGTGAGTACGTGCTGGCCCAGCAGGGACTCATCTACCAGGGCGCCCGCGACTACATCACCTCCACCCCCTGGAACTTCGGCCAGGTGAGCGGGGCATGGTCCCCTGGGAACCCCGGGACCCCCGGGACGCCCGGCTGAGCCCAGATCGTGCAGTGCTGGCAGTGCAGGACACAGGGGCTGGTGCCACGCGTGCGTCCCCGAACACGCATCCCAGATGCAGCCGGCACCTCGGGGAGGATCCGACCCCGCCATGCAACGGTGGGACAAACCAACCAAGATCTCATTTCTGAGAGGGGAATGCGCTGACTTTGAAACGTGGCAGAGCGAGGGGAGCGTTTCTGCATGGCTCCTGGAGGCCCCGGGGCCGCACACTCCTAATCGGGGCTGCCACGCTGCACCGGCAGCCGATAACGTTGGCCCCCGGGGCGTGCCGGCTGGGGCCC